TCTAAAAAAATAGCAACTAATTCTGCGTATCTAAACTTCTCAGTAACCAGAAAGAGTGGTGCAAATGTGACAAGACATGCAATTTGCAAATCAAAATCTTTTCTTCGAATTCCAATTTTATGTGTTTTCCAGTAGCCAGCCCACAGATAATAATTTAACCAAGTTTTTAAGATATTATTGGAACTATTTTTAATATCTTATTTGTATTTTGTAGATAACGGTGAATTGCAATTCTGACAGCTGTCCAGATTAACTCAAGAACAGTACATATTGCATAATAATCTGATTCTTTTTCCAAATTTTCTAAATATCGAACACCAAGTTGCACTGCCATATTAAAAATTCTATATCCCAAAAAGACCACAATTAAGGCTTGACACATGTCTTTTGAAGTATGCCACTGTCCAAGAATAATATTAGTGATAAAATTTTTATTTTCATAATTTTTGAGTCTTCGAAAAATAGCTTTGTCATATACAATATCAATTGTAGTATCTCCTGTATTTTCTATTATATCTTTTAAAAACATATCACATGCCTTATATATATTCTCATTAGAATTCGGCATTGGACCAGGATTCAAAATTACTATCTTTGGCTTATCAAAGTTGCATCTTATTTTAATATTTTCAATAACTTTTTGATGAATATCATTAATATCAAAGTTATTTATTTTTTTTAAAAGCAATTCCTCAAAAATTTTATCATAATTTTTGTTTAAATTGTTTGTAATTTTTAACGATCCAATCATAAGTTGTTCAGTTTGTTCAGAAAAAAAGATTGAAGTAACAGCTTGCGAATCTGAAGGAAGTTTAAACTGAAATATAAGTTGAAGAGTAGCATGTGCTATTTGTCATGCAATATCACCATATGCAAATAATTTTTCTTTTACATTAATATTGTCAATAACTAACAAGTTGTAAATATTATTTTCAGCCTTGAGTTTGTTAGCCAGATTAGAACATTCCATATGCCATCTTTCTGTGCGAGCTTCATAATCCCAAATGTAAGAAATTATATATGCAGAATGAAGAATTTTATAAAGCTTTGAGATAATTTGTAGATGTCTACAAAGTGAGCCCAAAACATGAAGTAACCAAATTTTCTAGCAACGAAAAGCAATTCCTATTATAATTGATACCAAAAAGATTGTAATTCTGTTAACTGATGTAAAATCTAGTGGAATTGATAATGATCTGTGTAATTTTCTTTGTCGCTCTGCAACTTTATGTTTTTTTTAAAAAAATACTATAATAAGGTTATTGAAAAAAGACCACAAAGTTCGGGACAATGTTGCAGCATATTGTTCAAGAGATTGTGGATTTTCTAAAATTGGCAAGTTATTTTTAAGTGATATACGAGGTTGCTATAAAGATTCTTCAAGAAGATTTCTGAAGTATGCATATTCTTTTTCTTTTAAAAATGCTGCTTTTGCTTTAGTACTTAAATCTATTTTTGCTAATTTAAATGCTATTTAAATCATTAATAGAGTTGATAAAACCAATTTATCAAAAGATTCGACCTTACTATAAATTAAATCGTTTGGCAGACATGGTTTTAATATCTCTACCACTGGCAATAATGACTAAATAAGTTGCTTTTTTTGTAATATATTATTTGATTTTGCTACTAATTGAATTCAATTTCCAAATTTTTCT